ACGGCATGATGACCAACAATCAGGCAACAGTGAGGTGAGGTTAAACAGGGTTTAATGTCGCGTTCAAGATCATGTTCATTTGATTGTGGCTGCGTGAATTTATCTGGATTTATGCCTTTTGTTTAGTGCCATGCTGGAGTTTAACATGGATACTCCATTCCGACACAGTTCCTCTCAATGCTGCATGCCAGGCAGGGTAACAAGTACCATCTTTTAATGTTCTTTAGCATGATGCAGCCAGGGGATCAAACCACCAACTTTCCACTCTCCCCTGAAGATGCTCTCTCCACTAGACAAAGGAGGCATCGTAACTACCCTATTGTCATCTATTGATTCTCATGACAAGTGTACTAGGTACTGGGGGGACCTATTCTTATGAGAATCCCCACAGCGGAGGTCCCACAGTGAAGGAGAGGAGTGAGTGAGTGAGTGAGTGAGTTGGGTTTAACGCCACTTTTAACAGTATTCCAGTTATATCACGGCGTGACAGCTTAATGTGGGAGGAAAGCCCAAAGTGATGCAGGTCTCAGACGTTTACCACTTCGGTGAAACCCACGAGCACGGGTATGGTGATGACAAACCTAAAAACATGATCGGGGCGAACCAGGATTCGAACCCACAATCATAGGTTTCTGGCGTGCCCAAGGGACGCAACTCTGCACAGCGAATCGCGGCACCTTATACGACTGGGCCATCCGTGCCCCCGTGAAGGAGAGGATCATAAGGTAAGTTAGCTACACAGATTTCACCCATGACCATCGAAGCAATAGCTATTTCGATGAGAATTTTGCTCTGAACTAAAATGTATTCAAATAGAACTTTTGAGATTTATCATCACAGAATAACACTGACAATCACCAGGATGCAGAATCACTGAGTGAAGTCACATCAGAATTTCTGATCTTCTTTAATGTGGGCCTTAGTCAGAATCACACTGATGAGTGATCATGCATCAGGGGAGGTTACTCAGATCAACCTATCAACTTGGATACGCACCTTACAATGAATCAATAATGATTCAGAGTTTGGCGTATGTCTAATAGCAATCGTTACTGACTAACTTTATGTATTACTAATGTCGACAAACATATTGTTTAACAGAAAGGATGTGTCTAAAATTGCGTCCATATTTGGGTCATGTTTGGAGGTGTGCAGTATTACAAATATACCAGTCTATTCAAAATAGCTTTGAAACAATATGTCTTTTAAGCATTCTGGCATATTGCGTATATTTGTTTCTATTTTATCCCCCCATACTTTTGAAAGTGTCATTATACAAAAATTCCAGTTTACAAAACACAACATTTGTTTGAAATAAGTCCACTGAAGACCCACTGTTGTAGATAGTGGGTACTATTGTTTGCTAATTTTACATGGCTGAAGTTACAGAGAAATTTATCCAGTTCCATGTTGTGTGGGATACTGTATGGTGCAATCAATTGACTTCACCAACACCTCGCTCTGTAGACGTGCAATTTGATAAAAAAAATTAGAAAAATCCATGTGAGTTAGAGACGTTTTTCAACAAAAGATGGGTTTCATTTTTAAAAGTTTACTTCGAAAACTAAAATAATTTTATCTACTGCCCAGTTTCCCCCTCTTTAGCATATTTAGCTAAAAAAAATAAACGCTTTAGTTATTTAATGCAAGTCTGTTTACAGTGAGAGCAGATGTGCAGGTTCATTTGCATTCAAATTAAGGATATATATTTATATGAAACAAGAGTTCAGACAATAATGAAATCCGGAACATGCAGAAGGCAATCCCAATTTTAGAAGAAACTCTCAATCAGAATCAGATAAAATATTTGCATACTCTGCTGATTGTGTTCATCGTGTGATGGTTTCTCAATATAAGAAGAACCTTTCTTTAGTTTTTTATCTGAAATGGAGTACAGAACTTGTGTCAAACCATGAATGAATATGTGTTAGAGGATTGTTCACTTTTGTTTGTATGTTTTTTAATGGTGCATTCAGCATTATTCCAGCTATAGATATGACAGTGGCCAGTAATCGAGTCTGGACCTAACATTTCACTGATAGACATTATGAGCAATGATCCACACTGTAGGGTGAGTGAGTGAGTAGGTTGTTTTAACGCCGTGTTTAACAGTATTCCAGTTATATTGCGGCGTGTCAGCTTAATGTGGGAGGAAAGCCCAAAGTGATGCAGGTCTCAGACGTTTACCACTTCGGTGAAACAAACGAGCATGGGTATGGTGCTGACAAACCTAGAAACATAATCGATGTGAACCGGGATTCGAACCCACAATCACAGGTTTCTGGGACGCCCAAGTGACGCAACTTTGCACATCGAATTGCAACGCCTTAGATGACTGGGCCACCCGTGCCCCCCCCCCCCCCACACACACACACACACACACAGTAGGGGTATCTGACGATCCACTCTGACGATCCACTCTGTCGATCCACTCTGTCTGGGTTACTTGACATGCAATCAAGTCACCAAGCCTGACCACCTGATCCATGCAGCTTGCAACCAGAATAGATTGCTGGTGACCTATTCTAATCTTGAATTGTTTGATAGGCGTTACTCAGAAGTTGAGAGATGACAAAGTAGAGATAATTTATGGATAACAACTTCCTAATTTACCATAAAGGTGGCGTTTCGGTATAGATCCTTATACTGTTGTCAAGCAAGGACTAAGGTATAAGGATCTATGCTGAAACGTCACCTTAACAGAAAATAACAAAGTTGTTATCCATAAATTATCTCTACTTTGTATTCTAACCTTGAATCCCCACGGAGCAGATTTTTTGCAATATTACATCAATATCAGCACTTTTCCCAGATATGATCATTTGTTTGTCTTACTGCTTGTCATTCAATGCCGCAATCAGCAATATTCCACACATGAAAGGGGGTCTGTACTTAATCAAGTCTGGATCAGACAATCCAGTGATTAATATTATGAGCAAAGTTCCAAGCTGTCAACTGCCTACAGTCAACCAAGCCACCAAGCCAACCACCCAATCCACTGAGCAAATGTTTCTGGGAACCCACTCTAACCTGAAATCCTGACATGGTCTAGGATATGATGAGCAGACACTCTTACCATTAGATTCCCACAACATCCCTTAAATGAATGTACCAAAACAACCCAACATTACTAACAAATGAAAAAACATGTACATGTATATAGATTTTAGAAAAATAATCTCTTAAGTCAACTGATATTTGAATGTAATACACAGAAGAGGTGTTGATAGTAATGTGACATTAGCTATTGCTAACTTAATCTGAGAGAATCCCTGAAAGTTTGTAACAGCTGGCCATGGAGGCCATGACAGTCATACAGTCAGTCAGCAAGTCAATACATCCCCATATTTACCAGGTCTATCAATTCTCATCCCATGATACAGAGGAAGATTTTATATTGCTTCAATCACTTATGGGTGAGGTGAGGTGAAATGGGGTTTAACGTCGCGTCTAAGACTATTGCAGTTATATAGCAGTGTGCATGCACGTGTGTGTGACTTGCTTGTACTAGTCTGGCCTAATGCTGATTTATAGTGTTAGCTCACTGAGATACCATGCCACAGCTTAACATGAATACCCCACTCAGACGCTGTATACTGACTCCGTACCGATCAGTCCGTGTTTTAGCCCCTTAATGTCGAGCGCCAGACAGGGTAACAACAAGTACCATCTTTTAATGTTTTTTGGCCGGGTCAATCACTCATAAGTTATTTGTCTTTCCTTCAGTATTTGATAACTTGACATATCTTAAGTCAAATTATTTAAACGTTTGAATAAATTAAACAAATAGGTTTCTGATTCCCAGCCATATTCCACTCATGGATACCTAGAATGGGTTGCACACATTGAACCAACAACTGTCCTCCAACCCAGCTGTTCTGACGCACAGGTAAATACACAAACATGTTAAATACATGTCAATCTGCAATTCTGGATTGTTCTTTCTAGGTCACTATTGTTTTAATCACAAACATATCTGTACAATAAACCATTACAACACACAAATCTATAAACAACATACCCATCACCATTTACAACAGGCATGACACACATGAGCCATTTACCACACACAGAGACAACATACAAATTGGGATTCCGTGTTATCTGCCTCTACCAAGTTTGCCAAAAATAAACACACACACTTCTAAAAAAACATGCAGTCTACTGAACATAAAGTAAGGGCACAAATCTCTTCCACCAGCTGTTAATATAGAAATTAAACATACTCCTTATACATATAGTTCAACTGAACAAATGAAACAAACTTCACAACTGTTTGTTTACACTATTTCTCAACAGTACAAGGGAGATAACTCTGGAAAAGAGTCTAACCGTTAATTCTGATAGTCTATTCAAAGTATAACTGTATATTACACTTGAAGTGTATGAAGGATGCTGATTTAATGACATGGATAGAAAAGGTAAACATGCTAAAGAAGCTCCAACATCTAAAACATGTAAAATATCAAAATACTGGTTATTCAATTCAGCTGATGTTCTATTTGATTTCTTACTACAATATTATGCAGGTAATACACTAGTCAGATTTTTTTTATCATTTGTTATAAGATCTAAGTGGTACTTAGAAGTTTGGGATCATTGAAGACAGGGTTCTTTTGGATTTCACTTCATCATTCCTTCAATGCAAGTGATAATGTACAAGAACCTATGCTGTAATGTCGCATTGAAAGATTAACAAAGTTGAAGTCCATAAGAAAAACTGGCTTCATGAAGTGTTTAGGTTTTGTTTTAACACAACTGAAAAAAATCCCCTCCCTCCCATACTATCAAGAATATTGAAATAGCTGAAGAAAGATCCACAGTTTTCACACATATTGTAATCTGCCTTCAGGTTAGTCTCTTATAGATATGTCATAAATTTGATATTACCGGAGATTGAATCCACTGCATACATAATACATGGGTAGCTGATGGAGCTTCATCAACACTGGAGCTAACTTGTTACATATCAATCTATACATGCTATATGTAAAACCTACCTGCATGGTAGTGTGTGAGGGCCTTGCCAATCTCTACACCATCCAGCTTGTTGTTGTTGTCATAGTCATGCATCTTAAAGTAATGGAACTCTAGTTCTTCTTCAGACATCTGGTCTTTGGGTTTGGTTTCAATAACGTTCTCAAGATGTTCCATGACATGCCTGCCAAAAAAAAACAATCATTCACCAATGAAAATATTGTTTGTCTGTTTGTTTGTTGTTTTATATCACACTCAGCAAACTTCCAGTTATATGCTGGCAGTCTGTACATAATCTAGTCTGTGACAGACAAACCAGTGATTCACATCATGAGCATCAATCTTCCTACTTCGGATACTATGACATGCATCAACCAAGTCCACAAGCCTGACCACCTGATCCTGTTAGTCGCCTCTTACTACAATCATGGGTTGCTGAAGACCAATTCTAACCCAGATTTTCATGAGGACATTGAAAATAATGAAATATCAGTAGTATGTATCAGGTGCTTTCATAACACAACAATACATTTATTGACACAACCACACTACTAAGATTGAGTGACTTCAGGATCCTAAATGCTTCCTTTGGGTGTATTTAGTTTAAATATACTATGCAAAAAAAGAAACGTTAAAAGTGATTTTAGAGGAATATTTTATATATAATACAAATAATCAACAGTATGTAAGTAACTGTTCAAAATTGGCACCAATCATTGTCATTGACCAAGCTTCCAAATGTCACACATTGAACAGCAGATTTTCCAAGATGTTCTCAATATCTTGTATGGCCATGATTAGAGTCCAAAACTGACTGGCATTGTCGTCCTATGGAAGCAATCAGATCGCGAATTGTGGCCTGGGGAATGTTCAGCCACACTGCCTGCAGTGTTGGAGGTTCTGTGGTTGTTGCCAACATGCTCGCAGTCGTTGATCAGGTGCAGCCCATAAATGTTCCACTGGGTTTAAATCTGGAGACCCGGAGGGCCATGGCAGGACCTGGATGTTGTGATTCCTGAAACAGGTTGTTGTCAGTTTTGCCGTCTGAAGTCGGATGTTGTCTTGTTGGAAAAAGACGTTCACTTGTTGCTTGTCACATAATGGGAATTTCACCCCAGTAACCTTGTGCCGTTAAATTCCCCAGAACTTGGTTTGTTCTACCAGTGTAGAAAATGGCTGCCCACATCATCACTCCTGTATGCATTTTTGTGCATAACACTCCCTGTGACGCCTGTAAACACGACATCTACCATCCGCACAGCGAAGCATATAACATAACTCATCACTAAAGTAAACTTGTCTCCATCGCAGTTCTGGCCATGCTCTGTGACCCTGACACCATTAAAGTCACAGACGACAATGCAGGTCCATCAAAATGACACCTCAAACTTGTCGTCTAGCGCAAATACCTTCACCGCCACATCCTGGGGTTGCCATAGTGGCAGAGATGGCCGTAGCCGTATGAATTTCTCCTGTGCTCTAGTAGTCCGATTTTCCTATCTTTTCACCAAATTTCTGCAGTACCTCATTCTTTCCACACAAACCAATCCCAATCCATGTAGAAATGATTTATTCATGTTTGGTATTAGTTTTGAATGGATGTCGGCAACACTGTCAGATATTTAAGAGGCCCTTGGTAGAGATATTTAAACACCCCATTCAATGAAATAACACAGAACAAAGGATTAAAGCTTCTTCCTTTACATTGGTCTTGTCAACAGTGAAATACAAGTCACTCATGCAAAGCTGTTCAGCTTGGGAGCCTATATTACCTCACAGACCTTCATTCACGGATCAAATGCAGGCATCACACATGCATGAACTCCACTGCAGTGAATTATAAATAAAAGTGCCAGGTCTCACTTACTGTTACTCTGATGTCCCATGAAACAGCATTATACATGTTATAAGCAGAATATTTTTTTAAAAGGTCTACCCCAGGGTACTCATTCATTAAAAAATACCCAAATGTTATAGACTGAACCCATCAAAGTAAAAATATTGATTACCTAAACAATAAACATAAATACCAACTGTGATAACATGAGTTAAAACTGGATGGCCCACAAATGTACCTGGATCCCAGTGAGAGAGTGTATTAAGTGGTCACTGGTCATCTGCTAGTTCTGATCTGTACCAATATACTCAGCTGACACAGTGAGATTCAATGCAATTTGTGGGTATTCAGTATTAGAAATTGACATTAGTCCTATAGTCCTTGCCAAACTGACCAGCTGTTAAGGTATCATAAGGACTAGAAGAAATATGCCATTTTGAAGGGTTTTGCTATATGTTATCATTATAAGGACTAGTGGACTGAAACTGTCAAGTTTCTACTGCTGGTATTATAGACTGCAAGCAGAGAAACGACAGGACAATACGGTGAAAGCCTGCACATAAACATAAGTAACTAAGTAAAACAATCTATCAGGTGATTAAATGAAATTAAAATCAACCAAGCAAGAAATCCATATGTCAATAGAGATTTATGAGTATTGTCAACACCTGACAATATCAGTAATTTAAAATGAGCAGATGTTACAAGATGACAAGATTGCAACATGCTTGTCTCTCATCAGCAAATATCCTGATATTGCTATGGTCACATAGGCTTTCACAACAGAACAGCCACAAACAACAATCATCCAATTCTTTGATGTTCACACTGAAGTCGGGTAAGGTAACATTACCAATAAAAACCATACCAGGGGGTCTTGATACAGGTGACAGTATCTGTACCAAACAGTGTTAATGAAATTGCCATCCATTGTGGTTAGCATGCCATTCAATTGTTTCACATTAAAAGCCTTAGCTTTTTCCTTTCTTTCTTTCACAAATGTGGAATATAATTAAAATTACAAGGACAATCAATTTCTTACATCTGCTAATAGAAAAATTAACATTGCCAAGGGTGAGTTTAATCTTCAATGTCTTTAAAAACATAGAAGTAGGTGTGTAATAATTACCATTGCTTTAATACTTGTTTACATACCTTATGACGTGGCAAATAGTAGTTATAAAACTGATCATGTTTTTTTTACCCTAAAGACTAAACTATTTACATGCTTAAATGGCCGCTTAAAAAAAATGTTATTGTGCAGTTTTCTTTTTATATCAACCACCAACCAATTTTCTAAAAAATAATCTAGTCTGTGTTAACCAAAAAATAAAAAATAGCTTACTCAGCATTATGGATGTCGGAGCTGAACTTCATTGTAACTGATCATGGTTTTTTTACCCTACAGACTAAACTATTTACATGCTTAATGTCCGCTTAAAAAAATTGTTATTGTGCAGTTTTCTATTTATATCAACCACCAACCAATTTTCTAAAAAAATAATCTAGTCTGTGTTAACCAAAAAATAAAAAATAGCTTACTCAGCATTATGGATGTCGGAGCTGAACTTCATTGTGTCCCCATGTCCATGACCGTGTCCACCATGGACAGGCTGTGCACCTCCCTGTGGAGGGGGCACCTGCTGCTGATTCATCTGATTAACTTGCTGCTGTTGAAACTGTTGCTGCTGCTGCTGTGGTGGTTGCTGCTGGTACTGTTGCTGTTGTTGTGGTGGCTGCTGCTGATACTGTTGTTGCTGTTGTTGTGGGGGCTGCTGCTGAAACTGTTGTTGCTGTTGTTGTGGTGGCTGCTGCTGATACTGTTGTTGTTGCTGCTGTGGAGGTGGTTGTTGATGGTGCTGTTGCTGTGGCGGGGGCACCCCTGGAGCAAACCTTGGTTCATTCAAATGAGCATTTGCTGTTGCAGCAAGGAATGCCAAAGCAAGGAAAGGAATCTTCATGTTGAAAAGTTCCTGAAAACAAAGAATGTAGAGTGAATCTACAGTAAGAAATTAATTATTACATGTACATGATGAAAGCAACACACAGAATCCATGACTGTAGTTTCAAGCGAAAATTATGCTTGAACGGAATTTCACAATTTGAGATGTCTGCAACGACGCATCTTCAAGAGATGGTTCTAGAATAGTCTGTCATACAGACCCTGAAACAAATATATCCAATACAGCCCATGCAAGTCTATAATGTTTGGCAAGTCTAGATTACTGCAGTATCAGGAAATGAAGAAAGTCTCTGGGATCCTTTTTATTATATTTTATATAAACTATAATTCAGCAACTGTTTTTTCTGTAAAATATTTCAGAGACTAGATGTTAGTCTAGTTCCAGAATAGTCTTTGGAATTAACTTATACTAAAGTATCATACTAGTAAGTATTTAATAAGAAATCATAAGAAAATGTGTTTATTTCAGTTTATGCAAAAGAGTTTTTATGCACTTTTCTCAAACAGTCTGTAGTGTCCTCTTACTTGGGCATATAAAACATGAAAAGAGGTACTTGATTTATAGCTTATGCTTGTAAATGCACTGATGTTATTTGTAACTGAAGTGTTTGCAATATACCATGTATATACTTTAAAATACAATATTAAAGAGAATATTTTAAAGCTATGGAACTCAATAAATTTAGATCTATGCATTTAAATCCATAGTTGTTTTATTCCATTTAATTCATTTTTGATAAATGTTCGTATTCTTCTGACAACTGAACAATATTCGGATTAAGGGAATGTGTTGAACATGTAGGATCTAAGTTGTATACACTTCAACCTTCTTTTTTAAGTTTGGTGCTTTTCATTGATTATGATCATGATTATCACATGTATGATGAATGTACTTCTTAAACAAAATGCAACAAAACTCAAAAACAGAGATATGGAATGTTGTTCTGCAAGTGATTTGTGGGTCCATGGATCTTTCATGTCTTTTTCATTTCTCTTTATTATTTGGGGTCCAGGATATAATACGATTTGAAATGTTAACGAATAGAATCTAGACTATGTACAGATGTAGGATACATGATTTATGTTCGAAAATATTAAACAGTTAAATAGTACGTTGTTACAAGAAATTAAACTTACTGGGGAATTGTCTATGGTTCACTAAGAATCCCCTTTAAAGTGTTGAAAACACAATCAAACAGATTCGGTGCCGGTGAGCCATATGGAACTAAGTGATTTGTTGACTCTGCTGCATCTTCATATTGTTATACACGACAGTTACTTTCTCAATTGTATCTGATCACTTCTGAAGGGTGCAATAAATCACCACTTCGTCACAGTTTCTTCAGCAATAAATCATATACTTACAGAAAATAAGGATGAACATATATCCCCGAGTGATTCTAAACGATGAGGTGTCACTCGTCCGAACAAGACGATCTTGTGTGATTGGAGATACGATATATCTAGTACTATTGGAAAGTCAACTAATAATATAAAATATATAATCCAATATCTAGTTGGATATAGTACTTGACTCTTCTTATGTTTAGAAATATACAACGAATACAATATGAAGATGTTATTTTCTTTATTATACATATTACATATTTCCTGGGCTTTGATATTATATCTTCTAAATTGTATTGTATTGTGTGCGCAATAAAATATGTTGTCAATAAAGTAGGACTTTTCTTCCACGTGGAGGAAGTGCCGTCTGCTTGTATTTAACTGTTTACCCAGCGTTTTGGTGGCGTCATGGATAATGATGACGACGATATGTCCAGTTCTTTGAAACGTTTGGTATGTGTGTACAAGTCAGAAATTTGCATGATAATAGGATCAACAATCTTACGATACCAATTTCTGAATAAACCGAATTTGTGGCTGATGTTTAAACGTTTGTCAGATGCACAAATTCATTGTGTCAGTCGCCGATATCCTCAGAATAATAATAACAATTACGACTTATCAGCTATAATAACAGAAATCATTCTCGGGATTCGGAAACACGACATTACATTGTGTTTTCAGGATAGTGATACCCATCAAAGCGCTCATAAAATAAGCCAACAAATTGTCTCCCCTTTACTGGTTCCTCCTTACCTTAAAGGGGCACTGATCTAAAGCAATTCCCCGGGACTGGTTGTTGCCTTTGTTATTGTTTTTCCCCGTGACTACCCGAACGATACGCAACGCAACTGAGCGTGACAAGAGACTGGGCTACCGTCTGCAAGGACAGCTAAATAAACTTGGCGGCAATATTTGATTTACTCATTTTTGAAAACTGATTGGTTAACCGTGATCTATAAAGATTTCGACAAAGGGTGCATGTTAAACAGACTAAACAAACAGACAAAAAGAACAGCGGAGCTCATCAGGTGTCGTCATTTGGAAATACCCCTGATTGTTAAAGTTTAATAATAATCAAAAAATATCCATGCAGTGAAAGCATTTTCGGATTTCGGATTGCGTCGATAATACGATTACTACCGTATATGACTGCGTATAAGCCGAATTTTGAGGACCAGAAAAAAGATTCTGTAGAAAGGTGTCGGCTTATCCACGGTATACACTTTCATGATAGTATTTTTCAGATCGTGATCTGGTACTCCCTTGTTGTCATCCACGTTTTCTGGTATAACCCTGCACTTGTGTATTTGTTGTCATTCACTTGATGCTCAGTTAATGAATTTATTACAGGTATAATTAGTGGTAGCACCACTCAGAATACCTGACAAAGGTTCCCATTTGGCATTTATTGTGTCTAGGGTAATTATTCAATCTAAATCCAGGTTTGAAGTTAAGTGAAATGTGTGTTATGTAATATACACGTGGCAGCCCAGCAAGAGATGAATGATCAGTTGATTTACTTTTTTGTATTATTCCTTTGTGTGGATATTCATGGATACATTCCTCAAACAAGGAAGTTGCCTAAAATTATACAAATAAATTTGATAGGTTGTAATTATGATATTTGCATTTTGTTTTCCTTCATTTGCTGTAGCATTGGACAGATTCATTCTTGTTCCTCTACGTCTTGGTTGGGAAATTCTTCGATGCACGATAGATGTTGTTTTTACAAGTCTTTTCCTTTATAAGTGTGTATATATTACAATCAATTTGTAAAATGTGATTATCTCAGGCAATTTATAAAATGTGTAAATATTTCAGTCATTTTGACTGAAAAATATGCCCATTTTTTTGACAGATTGACTAAAATTGATTAAGACGATCAAAAGGGCCTAAAAACATCACAATAGATTATTATGTAGGATTAGAAGCCAAACAATATAGATATGTACTTTTCATCGTAACATTTTCAGTCTCTTGGTGATTATATTGAACATAAAAATGTTTGGAAATGTTGTCATAATAATACAGATGGACAAAGTTTTCAGTCAATTTGTAAAATAACTGAATATTCAGGCGTTTAATAAATTTCCTAGGTGAAAATTTTGCACATTTTGACTGTAAAAATATAAACACGATAAAATAAGCAATGCTCAGGAGAAATATTTACTTTTTTGTTAATTTGTGTTGCAAGTCAATATAGTGTAAACGAAAATCGCACAATTCCAAGCAAGTGACAAATCAAAACTTCGTCACCATTACCGATGCTACCCATAAAGATACCTACATTTCCTTATTATTTCCAAAACTGTATTTGATTTTGTTGATCAATGTGACCATACGCCCTAAAACTATCAATAAAAAAGTGACAAATGCGCTTACGAATTGCGCAGCACAGGTCGCGAACTAGTCTAGGTTTCTGCTATATCATCCGGGTACTCACGGGAAAAAATAATAACAAAGGCAACAACCAGTCCCGGAGAATTGCTTTAGATCAGTGCCCCTTTAATTTCTGTCCATGACATCTGGCTTGTGATTGGTAAAGACTCCATTAGTATTTTTTAGGAGCATGGGTGGCTCAGCATAATCTGTCGTAACTGAAATACCTGAAATATGGATCATATGTCATATGATGTGGTAGTTTTACAATAGGGCTGGGATGGGTAGCTCGGTCACTTGGGTCAGATCGGTCCTGAGTAGGACCTGGGTACACACAGGACTACCCGGATCCATGGGTAGTCCTGTGATATACTGTTTTAAAATGACAATAACAATAGAACTCCATGGTTACACTACAATTCTCTAATGTTCGCAGGGACTGCCTCCGTGGTCTAGTGGTAGAGCATCTGCCCCAAGAGCGGAAAGTCCGGGGTTCGAATCCCCAACTGCGTCATACCAAAAGATGTTAAAAATAGTACTTGTTGTTACCCTGTCTGGCGCTCGGCATTAAGGGCTAAAACAAGGACTGGTCGGCTTGGAGTCTGAATGGGGTATTCATGTTAAGTACTGGTCGGTATACTGTTGGAGTCGAGTATTCATGTTAAGCTAAGCTGTGGCATGGGATCTCTGTGGAATAGCACTATAAAGTCGGCATTAGTTCAGACTAGTACAAGCAGCCATACACACAACCACACACACACTTGCAAGCACTTTGCAAAATAAGTGCAATAATCTTAGATGCAACATTAAACCCCATTTCACCTCACCAAATGTTCATGTTTCTTTCTAACTATGCACATATTCTTTCAGACTTTTATATGCGTGAGTAAAGATAAAGATTCAGTGTATACATGATCACATCGTTTTATATGCGTATCTAAATAGTTTTTGCCAGGGCTCTGGTAAAACAATTCCCAAGTGGTGGAAACTTTGTACCCTACCCTTGAGACCCACAGCAGGTATCCAGGTAGGGTCGGGTAATTGGGGGTTGGAGGGGTACGTGGGTAGAAAATTGCCCTATTTCACAATATATTTTGTGTATTTTCTATGCAGGAGGAATTGTTGGTGTTGATTACAAAGAGCACCCACAATCGCTACATAGCACTGGATGAAGAAGTGGATGAGGAATCAGTCAAACAATGGTTTTATCAGCTGATAGAAGATTTCAAGATGACAAGTGAGAATAATCAAGGCGGTTATATGGGAACATGGACAACTGGGAACTGAATATACTTCTTTGTTAAAGTTACTTCTATGGTCATTTTCTCGGTTCTCATCAGTCAATGTTCATTCATACTATGGACATGTTCTGCAACTCTCCTTTGGATACTTTCTCAAGGCCCCGTGTATACCTTATCATTGTATGTTGCAGCCTCTGGATTAGACTACCAAGCAAGAGCCAAAGGACACACATATATTGTCCCCCAGTTCTTCAAACTGCTACAAGAGTGTTTCCTGACCCATAACTGGCAAGGAGCTGTTAAAATACTGCAAGCTCTGGCTTACGAACCAAAAGGAACATCACAGACGATTTGGAAGGTACATGATTTACCCAAATCTCCACTATAGGCATGTCTAATTTGTGGAAGGATATTGGTAACTTGCCCCCAAAATGAGGTTAAGTATATTCTTTTACTTTCACACATTCTTCATATAAAGTAGGCTGGAGGGGGTGTTCCATCAGGTTCCCAGTTGTCTGAGGTGCAAACATTTGCTGTACAGAGCTCCCCAATGCTTATGGGTTCCATGATCGAGGTAAATACTCAAAACCTGTGTTTCTTGGGAGTATAGTGCACACTTATAAACCTACTGGCTGTTTGTGTAACTCGATATGGAGTTTTTTAATTGTGGTAACACCTTGTAGGAGGTATTACAACGATTGTAACACCTCGCAGGAGGGCTTACAATCATTGTAAACCCTTGATAGAACAAAAACTGCGAACAGCCTACGAGACGCACGTGCAGATATCGTGCCATTGCGAGACGTACGTGCAGATTTCGCACCATTGCGAAACCCATGTGCTGAGGTCACTGGTTTCATTGAACCGAGTTCACGACTGCAGGCAACTATACTGGGAACCCATGGGGATTTCTCAGGGTTGAGATTGGTTCCATCAACCTTTGCTAGTCATAAGAAGTGACTGAATGGATCAGGTTATCAGGATCGGTGACTTGGTTGATGGCATATCAAAGTACCCTGATGAGAATCATTGCTCATTTTTGTTTACAAATCACTGGACTGTGTTGTCCAGACTCCATTATTTGCAAGCCACCATCCTATAGCTGGAATATTGCTGAGTGCAGTGTTATGAACCAATCACATACACACAAACCATGTTCAACATATTCAGTCAGTGATCATCTCTTGTTCCAGGCAGGTATGGAAGTGATGTACAGCAACGCTAAAGAAAATGATGCATTCATATCACAGTTGTTCAGGTTTGTTGCTGTACAGTTGACCATATTCATGATATATGTCATGGTAGATATTGACAGGTGCCCTTAAATACAGTGTACATTGGAAACTCACAGAATGCAGGTAAAATATTGTCTCTTCAGTTCATTCACTGTAAAAGTAACAAAACGTCCTGTTACTGACTTACAGTGCCAGATATTTCAGAAATATTTTGACATCTAAACTGATGGAGTAACAACATTTTTTGGCCACTGTCAGCAATATTTCAACCATTACATGGCAAGAGACACCATAGATAGGCTTCAGACATTGTACCCGCGTGTGAATTGTGAATATTCATACTGTTATAATAGTGACTTATTCATTAAAAGTAGATACAGTTAACTATATTTATAACAAACACGCTTATAACGAACTAACCGATATAACAGACTTAGTTTTTAGTCCCAATCATTTGTTGAAATGCTGTATATATGCTTATAACGAATTACAGTTATTATGAACTAAAATTAGTGGTCCCTTCGAGTTCGTTATAACCATAGTTTACTGTATTTGTATATCCATATTGACATATATAATCATGATGTCTAATTGTAGATATGTATGTTTCAGGCAGTTGAAACTTTTTAAGGACTTGCATGCCGAGGATGTGATACTTGAGTATGTGATGTACCTCTTGCAGCAGGGGAGAGTGTCAGATGCTGCAGCCGCCTCCAGACTCAAGGTTTCTAGACTACATCATTTTCTTGATGGCCTGTGACTTGACGTGATGTTAGGGGAGGCTTCTAGTTGTGCCAGTAGTTTAATTTAGTTTTCCCCTGTCAAACCCTTTACTATCCTAATTATGTTCTTAATTTAAACTCTGTTGGAACCCAACATCCCACTGCCAGTCGTAAGAGACAACTAAATTGGGAATCTGTGGTTAGGTCCAGGTTATGAGGTGACTTAAGGGATTGTTGCTCGTAGTATGAATCATTGGATTGTCTGGTCCAGAAACACACACTCTGAAATTAAGGAATCAAGGGTTCCTTGGGATAAAGATTAAAGATTTAAGGGGTCCCCATATTATTATACTGTGCAATATGCATGGACCAAGGACCCCCTCAACCTTTAGAGTCACTTTAGACAGCGATAGAATGAGTTTTAGTCCACTAGTCCTTATAAAGATAACATTTAGCAAAGCCCTTAAAAAGGGCAAATGTCTACTTGTCCTTATGATACCTTAGCTATTGGGCAGTTTGGCAAGGACTATGGGATTAGTGCCATTTTTTACCCTTTTTGGATGGTTTGTATTTAGATTGTTGGTGACAGAGGTTATATAACATTCAAACTATAGTACTTCAAGATTCATTACATTTGTAGCCATGCAAAGTAAGATCCACCATAGATGATCCAGATATGACAATTGGTTACTGATCAAGCTCCCACCATTGATGGAGATACTCCCCTCGATCTGAGTCTTACATGTCTGTGTTCAGGATAAAAGAAAGTCCAGCTTTGACAGAACAGTGAACCTGCCAGCCCACCCTCCTTTCGTCTACAAGGCCTACAAGGGGCTGGTGTATTACATTGAGTGGCTGCAACTCAAACACAGCATGCAAGGGAAAGAAACTGAAGGTGACTTACTTCAGATGATGTATCCCAACAATATGATATGTAAAATATTTTATATTTTACACACACTTTACATATAAAAGGTTTTACAAATTTTAAAAAAGGATAATGCAACATCATGGCCCAGGTTGCACTGTGGTACAGGTCTCATACATCTCATACCATGCAGAGTTGTCTCCCTTGGCTGCCAGGGTCTGCTGCTTGAGGGTTCAACTCTTGATTTGCCACAATTAGAATTCTTTGTAAAAGACAATATTACTGGTATACCGGTATATTGCAATACGGCTGTCAGCAATACACATACCGTATACAACCTTTGTGTATTGATATTTTCCAATATAGTCTCAGAAGAATTGATATATATTTATAATAATTATATCTTCTAGGGCTGCAACGAATACACTGTGAGACGAATACGATTCGTATCACGAATATATGGTAATGAATACGAATAGCAATTCACGAATACAATAACAAGTCAGCAGTTGATGTATTATTTGTTGTAATCAGTGAAACAATAACAACATCAATTACTTGACATGGTTTGTTAATTATTAATATATTATACATTTATATACTGCACTTATCCAGGAACTAGTATCTGCACAAATGCGACAATGACCAGTGACCACAATACTGTCAAATTAAATATTATGAGAGTATTGTCTTTTGAAGACATCTATGCATATAATATGTTCTTATGGATATTTTTAGGTACAGGGTATGTAAATGCACATGACTGCATATTCATAAATATTCGATTCTAGTGGCCACGAATAACGAATTCAATTCATGAATGGATACGGTTCGATTCACCGAATACGCAAGTGAATTGTAACAGCCCTAATATCTTCCATCCTGAAGCATTTGGATGGACTGGGTTCCTATCTAAACAATGTAAACTTCGTGCTGTTTACATTAACTTTCCATATTGATGGCATAATAGGTAGTCTCAAATATCCATACTACCAATCTCGTAATCTGAAGTCTGGATTATTGAATGGAGAAGATCCATTTGAACAGTTCAAATATATATAATTAGGGCCTCAATATGTATTGCAATAATTATCGCAATGCAGCTCTCCGTATTGTGATATATTTCAATACGAAATTATGTGCCAATACGCCAACCCTAATTGCCATGTGTATCACCACAGCCAGTGTCCACAATTAAGCATGAAAGTAATGGGGTCTGGCCCTAATGTCATTACCCTAATGTTAAAAAGATTCAGGAAAATCTCAGATTCATATGCTACCACAGCAAAATCTCAAGGAACCTAGGACCCACCTTACTTTCAAACATTGAAAGTGGTGAACTTTGGATTACTTGTTAACTGTATTTTGATTAATATTTTGCTCTAACACACAAGACAAATAAATATATTAAATTATTGTATATGTTATAATTGAACTGGCTGATATACTCTGCGTTACATCACTGCAGTTCAAAGGTGAAGCTACATTATCTCTTGTCTACATCAATCTTCATCAATGTCAGACACGTGAACATCTGACTGATGAGAAACAACAGTCAGAGTCATAACAACTGTCACAAGAACCATCCTCACCATGTCCTCAGATTCCTGGTTTCAGCATCCTGCCCCAGATGTTGGGATGTGTGTTGTTCCTTTCCTGTGCAACATCACAATAACTTAGCAGGAACCCAGCTTTTAAAAGTGCATGGATTTGATCGAGCGATAAATGAAAATGGAATGAAATGTCAACAGACTTTAGCAATAGTTGCTTGGGATTTTCAGCTAGAAATTCAGTCTAGTTTTGTAAATGTCTGCCCAGAGAGCAGAAGGCCTGTGTTTCGATGCCCGGGTGCATCATCCCGAAAGATTTATCCAAGTGGGGTATCCATATTAAACTGTGGCATGGTATCTCAGTGGGCTAGCACTATAAAACCAGTGTAAGTCCAGACTAGTACAAGCAGACACTCAAGCACGCACACATGCATATGCATACCTAATTTCACCTCACCTAGTTTTGTACAATTATCGATCCAAATCATATTACACTAGCATTTTGCAAGCATGCAGAAGGTTATTTTGACCACTGCCTCCAGTAACTCTGACTTTGTTTGCAGGAGAGATGTGGCAATCGTCATCCCAAGCTAACTATGATGAGATGAAGATTGTCCACCATGCCAAGAAGGCCATCAAGCTGATGGACGATGTGTGTGACCAGCCTGGGGTGTGGGACACTTTCATTGTTAAACTCACACAGGTATCAGTTTTTTGTTTGTTTGTTTGTTTGTTGTTTAACGCCGCACTCAGCAATATTCCAGCTAAATGACAGTGGTCTGTACATAATCGGGTTTGGACCAGACAGTCCAGTGATTGACAACATGAGCATCCATCCACACGATTGGGATCGATGACATGCATCAACCAAGTCCGCGACCATGACCACCCGATCCTGTTAGATTCTACCCCGAATCTTCATGGGCCAGAGGTATCAGTTGAACACTGCTTTCATGAAAAATAAACGTTCATTTTACAATGCAGGGTATCAGATTTCTTGGCAATTTGTTCCATGAAATAAATCATTGGAAAATTCCCATGCAAGACAATTCCTCCTTGTTTGCCAAAATTTGAAAAGTGTATGAATTCAATTTCATGATTGTACCCGATATACATGTATTGTTTTAGACGTATTACATTTCCAAAGAATTAACCTTTAAAATGTTGAGAATAGTTAAATAAATTAAGCATCTATTTGTAAACCGAGTAAAAGTTAGGAAAATCCAGATTAACGACAGAAAAGATAGATGAAGACTTGATTTTCATTAAATTACCACAGATACTTGGTTTTAATTTTGCCACATGGTTTATTTCCAATATTTCTGGTCCCAAGTTCCAACTACCTCCAAATGTACCAGCCTGTCCAAGAACATATTAGTAAATGGCTCGTTTTCATGTTAATATTCCCAACAGATGAAGGAGGAGATTGAGGGGAAGGATGCTGCGCTGAGTGTGCTGACCAGATACCGGGACCAGAACCCAGACAACCCCAACTCTCACCGATACATCTACGACTTCTATGTCAAACATGGCTCTTCAGATGAAGACAAGATAGGGTGCCTTAAGGTAAGGAGAGAACCAGTGTAGTGGATAGAACATCTGCCTGGAGATAGGAAGGTCAGTAGTTTGATCCTCTGTCCTTGTCCTACCAAAAGATGTTAAGAAATGGTATTTGTTGTTACCCTGCCTGGGGCTTGGCAGTGGATAAATGTAAACACAGTATAAGGCTGTAAATAAGAATGGTTTCTGGGTAATGGTGTTTGAATATAAACATTGGCAGCAGTTGGGATTCATATTTCATTTGTATGACAATTGCAGAAATCACTATTTCATCCATGGTGTTGTTGCTGATCACTGGTTCCATTTGTTCCATATGCCATTATTTTCATCCAATTTTACTTTCTAACAAAATGTTAATGTTTGATTTCATAAGTGAAGTCTCTCAAAATGTATGTTTTTGGCCTTACTGATGGTAGCCTCTTTAATAGCTTGTCATGTGGGAGTGGCTGACCTTTTGTGGATGATTCCCATTATAATTAGACTGGGGCGGTCGGGTAGCCTAGTGGTTAAAGCGTTTGCTCATCACGCCGAAGACCCAGCTTCAATTCCCGACATGGGCACAATGTGTGAAGCCCATTTCTGGTGTCCCCCTACCATGATATTGCTGGAATATTGCTAAAAGCAGCATAAAACCATGCTCACTCACTATAATTAGACTATTCACACAATCTTTTTGTTTCAGGGGCTTGTGAAAAGGGATCCATCTAATCCTCTCATATTAAAGTTGTGTAACCTTTTGAATGGTATGTCCTACAGACTTTGACCTGTGCAGAAATATAGATAAAGTAAATGTAGAATATGTATAACTAGTTTCTCTATTATGTGTAGGGGGATGAAAAGAAAGTAAATGAAGAAAGTGACTCCCATGGTACCTGCTGATACTGTTCCAGTATAATTGTAAAACAGTCTTTCGATTGGCGGTATTGGTCATTTTCATATAGAGTTTCTTAGGTTCTTGAGGTTTAGTCCTTCAGTACATAGTAGTACCTGAATCGAGGGATCGTCTGAATTTTGTGTACAAGGGTTATCACAAAGACTCGCCCCTGCGACTTTCATTCGTAATTTCAAACATTAATTTGTCCTGTCTCTCAGATTGTCACTCAGTCGGATGTCATTCCTAATTTCAAACATTAATAAACATACATGCTGTCACTCAGAATGTCACTCAGTCGGGAGTCTGCTGTTCAACCTCCTGGACTACTGCAACTGGCAACACAAATTGACTCCATGGAAAAAGTTTAGGAAATACTTGCAACACATATACTCTAGGTAACATTTTTGAAACATTTTGTGTAGACTATATGCTTCTAACTAGTACATTTAAGTTAACTGCACAGGTGGTACTTCATTCATTTTCCCCCTAATCTATGTATCCCTGTATGTTACAAACTAGGATATTGGTTGTACAATCAGTGTGAGTATACAAAACAAGTACCTGGTGACACACATTTTCCTCTCATTTACCCACCTGGAAATGTGTGTGTTCCAATTTTATATATGAATGCTAGAAACACAGGTGCCTTCGAAAACCAGAGGGACATTGGTGGCCCTGTCATCTAAGAGACTGCAATATGCGGAGTTGCATCCCTTAGTCATTCCAGGATCTGTTGATCATTGGTTGGAATCCCAGATTCACCCTGCTTGTTTCTTTGTCTGTCCGCACCATTCACATGTGGGTTACACCAAAGTGACATCTAGGACCACCTGCATCATTTCAGGTGTTCTTCTACATTGAGCTGACATGTGGTACTACAAAACTACTGTTTAAAATGAAATTAAACAAAATTTACTTTCTCGTTGGTTCTGATGCTTATCACCTGAATGATATCTGATTGGTTAGTTCAGGTCAGTTCATGTTCAGCAATCAAAGGTTATCTTGTCCTCTTCTAAAGGTGGGACACAACTTGGGGAACTTGTACACAGGAGTTTAAATCTCTTTCAGCAAGTTGAAACTAAACATCTCTGTGGTGGAAGACTGCTGGCGTGAGCGCGAGTCCTGGTGGCCTGCCTACCATTTTACACTGAAGAGTGGTGGCTGTGCTGACCAGGCTGATATAGCAGTGTTGTGTGAGAAAGCTGCCTGTGCTGCCTTCTTAATGGGAAAAGGTGAGTGTTGTACCCCCACAGCTTATGGCAAGTAGAAATGACAGAGCCGGTGTTTATTGGTGACCAGTGTGCCAATCAATAGCCTGTACTTATATACATGCATGTAGTAGTTGATATAATGATATGTTGACAGACTAATCATGCGGGGAACCATGGGTGACCCAGGCACTGCAATATTCTGTGCAGTGTTGCGTCCCTCTGTCAAAGTCTACCTGTGTGGGTCTGAAATTCTGAATCCCTGTTAATGATTCTTGGTTTCACCAAAGAAGTAAACTTTGAAGACCTGCAACACTGCAGTGTTTCCTCCTATATCAAGCTGAAAGGCAGTGATAGAACTGAAATACTGTTCAAAGAAGCCTTGCGCCCAACTCACTGCTAATCCTGCCAAAAATAATTTGAATTTATTTTTGGCATTTGACAAACATGCAGCACAAATAGGAATACATATTTTGTTTGTCAGTGTGGCCTTTTTGGCTTATGGGTTTTAGTGAGTTCTTTGCAACACAAGCTGCCCCTACTGTAAAGTAAATTGTGGTTTTCCTTTTATCTATCTGTAGACAAGTTCTCACGCTTAAGAGGATGAGACTTTGCACTGGTAATATCGTTGTGGATTTAATCATGTGATTACCCATCCTATTTCAGATAATACCTTTACGGCAGAGGTAATGAAAAGTCTAGATGAGGCATATCAGAAGAAACTTGTTGACATGTTAAAAACACTGGATGATTCCTGATCCTATGAAGAGTCAGTTGCAGGATGATGTTCACCACACAGGGCAGCAATACCTCCACAACGGATGGAAAGCTGGAAGTCATTTAAAGTCATTCTCCTACAGAATGCACTGACAGTGGCTTGACCTACAGACAGATGAAAGAGTAGCTGCATGTTACTTGGAGGAACCATGCTGAATACAGTGATACCACAATACAAACTTCAGTTGATGGAAAGTGTGTCACTCCGAGAACATTAAGAGCAAGATTTGACTGACAGAGTTTCATTTATTGTATTGCTTGCTGGGAATACAGTTCATATGTAGGCACACTACGTCTCTGTAACATGGCAGCTATAGTTCTGTCTTACCAGCAATGTTGGGTGATATAAGCCATGCGAGCTTCATGTTCAATGATTATTGAATGTCATTAAACTGTTTGTTTGGTATTCTTGTGTTGTTCCCCTTGTTGCAAGTTCCTTTAAACACTTACCATTGGGATTAATGCTGTGATAGGACCTCAGTACATGGTGTGTGTGTCATGAAGGTTGACCAGAGAATCAGAGGGTAGAGTAGCTGCTGGATGTGGAACATGTAAATGGGATGTTCTAAGCTTTCAACTTTAATGTATTATCTGTATGCTCATAACCTGATAAGAGCACAGGTTTTGATCCTCTGGCTTCTGTGCAGTATAATTATTTAACAAACATGTACTCAGTTCTTACAGGTCAGTGCTGCTCAGGTTATGGACACCTTGGACATGGCTTTGTGGGCCTAAAGTGCAAAGTGTTGTTTGTGCAAGCTGTTTCCTGTATGCTATCCGTAGAACTTGAGAATGTGCTCTAAGACCAATAGAGGACTTGTGACAGTACTTTATCAGGCACTGTAGCTCACCTGGTTATGTAGTCAGCAATTTAAAATGGATTTGTACCTCTTAAACAAACTGTTAAGTTTCAGTTTCATTGGCTTCTGAGATGATTTATAGCAAGAGAAAATGCATTTTAAGAGAATATAGGCGCATAGAGAAATGGCAAAGGTCAAAGTATTAAAATATGGAAAATGTTTTAAGCCCCACTTCTACTACACAAGTACCAACTTTCATGACATTTTGAAAGAAAATGGCCGAGTTATGACCACAATAGGTTTTTGCTTTCAGTGTGGTCAAAGTGCAAGGTTCAGATCTAAAATATCGCGAAAAAATGGAACAGGTATATTGAGCCCCTCTATGTCCCAAATATCATTACATTTAAAACATAAAGAGGCTATTCAACATCAAATAAATTCAGATTGGAACCTCGAACAAATTGGACCATCGTTGGTGAGAACAAGTATGTGATGTTTGCTTCATTGGTCCAGTGGTTTCTGAGAATATGAATATGCCAGACAAACATGTCATAACAACACTCAATAGTTAAACGTCTGAATCTGTCAAATGTGATGTGGTGATGGCAGCTCTAATTGCAAATTCATTCAACTCATAAAATGAGACTTCAAAGTACCTTCAAGACTTTTATTATGTTTAGTAAATACAGAATGTGTACAGGTATAAATGAGATGGCAGGGTCAGCTGATGATGCATCATAATGCACTGGCCATGATGGCGGCAACACCTGCACAACAACAAAAAGAGGAGTTAGTGAACGTTGCTTTTCACGATGTCATACAGTCTGTTAATCAAGCTTTGTCCAACAAAAGCAGTGGCTATCCGAGCAACAATCAATGCAATCCGACAGAATGTATGCTATTTTACACCCCATCCAGCCATGTCAATGCCCCTAATTCCAGCTACATCACAGCAGCCTGTAAATAATTGAATCTGTGCTAGACATTCAAGTGATTGAAAGCATGAACAACAATCAACACCATGAGGGCAGGATAACATGCTTTCTTTCTTTGTTGTTTAACGCTGCATTCAGCAATATTCCAGCTATATGATGGTGGGCTGTAAACAATCGAGTCTAATTTACATCATGAGCATCAATCTAGGCGATTGGGATACGATAACATACATTAACCAAGTCACTGTTAGTCAGTGAGTCTGACCACCCTATCCTGTTAGTTGCCTCTTATGACAAGAATAGTCGCCTCTTACGGCAAGCATGGGTATCTGAAGACCTGTTCTCTACCCAGATCTTCATGGGGATGATAACATACCCTCAGCCAAGTCACAGACATGTTATCAGAGACTGGCCACCCTGAGTAACTCTTATGACGTGCATGGGTTACTTGGACCCACGGGTCCTGATCTCCATAAGTCACTCGTATGACAAGCTAGGGGTTACTAGGACCCACTTCTCTGAAGACCCCACAGGATCCTGATCTCCATAAGTCGCTTGTACGACAAGCTTGGATTACTGTGGACCTGCTCTTGCCCATAATCCCCCTCATGGTCAAAGATAGGAGTAAGTGTGTAAGAGACAAGGGTTGGATAGAGGAATATGTGACTATAAATCTTCTCTACTGAAGGGAAAATGCACATGTCTATAAATCTGTTAAAGTTATGGAGACAGCATACCATGCTGTATGTAACCTATTTAGCTTGAGTACAGAATTTTGTCTCCCAGAAAACAAAATAATTCCAATATGCTTACTGTCAAAGGTGATTTTCTCTGTGATGTTCTTAGTTTTGATGCTGTCATCTTGGTTCATGATAAATATCACATTCCCATCTTGTGGCACCCATCCGTACTTGGTGATCCACTGATTCACCTCAAATTCTGGAATGCAAGAAGACAATGTGGACACACTTGTTTCAAATTATAGGAGTATGAAACTCAAGGTGATGTTGGGACTCTTTAATCACTGCAGGCCTCAGTTTGAGTTTTCGCCAATGCAAGTTGCAACCAGACTGTACCTTAGATGCACCATGTTAATTTGTCTTTACTGGTTTTTTTAATTTCTTATTTACTCATGGAATTTACCTTTAAAACATGGCGCCCAAGATGACTGGGTCACCCCTTGCCTCCAATAAAAGGACATTTCAGATAAATTAGGACAACGAGACCCACGCTGGGAGATTTGAGGACCTCAATAACTTAATAATAAGGTTGTGGAGAGGTTTTGAGAGTGTGATGCTGACCTGAGATTCCTCCTAGCAGCTCCTGCAGCAGGGAGTGGGGGATGGTCTGGTACGTTGCACTCACCACATGGCACACATCTGAAATACACACACACATACACTGTTACGTCAACATGGGATGAGGACAACCGTCACACTGACAGAGATGGTACAAAACCAACAGAGTACCTGATGAAGGCTGCGAGGCCAAAAGCTTGAGTCTATGGAGGTAAACTGATTGATTGTTCATTGTTTAACGCTGAATTCAGCAATATTCCAGCTATATAACGGCAGTCTGTAAATAATTGAGTCTGGATCAGGCAATCGAGTGATTGACATCATGAGCACTGATCTCCACAAATGGGTTGTGCTGACAATCATTAACCAAGTCAGCAAGTCTGACCCCCCGATCCCGTTAGTGGCCTCTTACAAGAAGGGTGGGTTGCCAAAGAGCAATTCTCACCCAGATCATCATGGGTGTATGTTAAGAAGAAGAACGTGTTGATTGTATGAGGGCGAAATAACCTCTCTACTATAATTCATATACCGTAGAAAAATCACTGTAAGTTGAAATTTAATGAATTTGGGCAAGAACCAATTCCTTTGTGTAGATAGATGCATAAAATGGTGTATAGCCCTTAATTAAATAATTTACTTACACTTCCTGACACAATCTCCAAAACCAACAATACCAGCTATGATATCTGGATCTGTCCTCAGATTTTCCTACAATCAGAAAAGAGAGAAACACGTTTGAGTGTTGAGTGTTAGTATAAGGTGTAAAATCTACTTGAATTGATGACTGCCTGAAAATGAAATCAGATTGCTGTATAATCTTTCACAGAAGTAGTCTCAGCCTTTTGACTGCTGCATTAACTAAGTTTTGTTTTTTTGTTGTTAAACGCCGCACTCAGCAATATTCCAGCTATATGACGGTGGTCTGTAAATAATCGAGTCTGGACCAGACAATCCAGTGATTGACATCATGAGCATCGATCCACGCAATTGGGATACGATAACATGCATCAACCAAGTCTGAGTCTGACCACCCAATCCCCTTAGTCGCCTCTTACGACAAGCATAGTCACCTTTTACGGCAAGCATTGGTTGCTGTTAAGGAGCACATTTAATCATTCAGTAAGATGAAGTTCTCTCCTCACAAACTTAATTTAAATAACATCATATCATAGCAGGAACAAGATGCAAGTGCCTTTACTCTTACCCAGAAATCTTTGAACTGACAGGTTTCCAACAAGAATGCAAGCTGAACAATTCTGCTGATTGGTTCTTCCTCAAGCTGACAGAACTAAGGAAGTACGAACTACAAGCTGTGTATCACTGCCAACATGGCTCAGAAATGTGTGCACGATCACATCAACCTGCTGCGTAAAGCTCCGGGACACTCCTCATCCAAGAACACACAAACATGGTAGTGGAGTTATCGTGGTAATATTGAAACTGATTTTAAATAGTGAACAGGGGAAGCTGAAACCTTCATACAATATCTTGAATAATGATTAGGGGCAGGTGATTTGGGTTTAAAGCTTCCTTGAACAGTGTTCCAGTTATATCATGCCGTGTCAGCCTGAAGTAATGCAGGTCTCAGCCGTTTACCGCTTTGGTGAAACCCACGAACACAGGTATGGTGCTGACAAATCTAGTAACATAATTGTGGCGAACCAGGATTCAAACCCACAATCATAAGTTTCTGGCAAGCCAAAGGGATGCAACTCTTGGCAGCAAATTACGGAACCTTCGATGACTTTGACACCCATGCCCCCAATTGATAAGAGAGACCGAAGGAGGCCAATATACATCTGCATAAACCTGTCATGAAATTTGAATTCATTCAGTGTTGTTTGACATTTTTGAATTGTAATACATATGACATACAACTCATAAGGTAAGCTGAACGTGAAGGATACTCTTGCTGTGTCTATGAGACACTTGCACAACATGAAGTCGGTGTGGGGGAGGTTGGTGAGAGCCTTCAGGAGGATCAAAGCTGTCATCTCAGTCTGGTAGTACCCGGGGTTGAACTGGTACCTGCAACACAAGGACAACAATGGACTGAAATCCAGAGCTCAAGATAAGCTGCATTTTTCAACAAAATGCACACAATACATGATCATTACCCAATTGATTTTGAGTTGCTTGCATACAAACATGCACAAATTTACTTAAAACGCAATAACAGTAAAACAACACTTTGCAAATGTACCAAATGAGTTCTTTTCATCTTCCATACCTGAATTTCTTTACAGGTCTCTATTGATTGATTGTAAACATCACATATTTAAGAACTATGCTGCACAAGATCGCTAGGTCTCAAGTACTGTAACTTAGACATATGTTAGTATGTTACTGGATTAGGGCAACACATACAGTTTGGACAACACGTGACTTCATGCCAAATAGATGTCACCTTAGATAGCGTTTTAAGCAGATGTGTTTGTACTCATTGGTTTGAAAATACCCAACATGCTGTCTCCAAGGGAGGGAAGCACAGATAATGATTCATCCTGTTGAGAACGATGACATGCAGTAAGCCAGGTTACATACTGCATTTTCATGAGTCAGTACTTATGACACTCAAGGAACACTTGGGACCCATTGTGACCTTGAATCATCATGGAGGTTATAAAAAAAAGGACAGAAATGATTTCAAGCAGTCAAAGGTGGCATAAACTTCCATAAGTTGGTAGCACATGAGATGCTGGTTACAGAAACCATGCTGCCTCCATTCATACTTACAATTTGAGTACAGCAAGATTGGCCTCCACATCGTACGTGTTTTCTCTTGCTTGCATATCCACATACCGCTCCAATGTTGCAAGATTTTCAGGGTTGTACCTGCAAAAGAAAACATTGATCATAGGGCTGGGATCAGTCCATGTTTACTACCCGGATACCCGCTGTAGATCTTAAGCGTTAGGTACGAAATGTCTGACGCGTGAAGATCCGGGGTAGAATAGGTCTTCAGCAACCCATGCTTGCCGTGAAAGGCAACTATGCTTGTCATAAGAGGCAACTAACTGAATCGGGTGGTCAGACTCACTGACTTGGTTGCGTTATTGCGTGGATCGATGCTCATGATGTCAGTGGAATGATTTATGCTATTTCACATTCTTAATACAGCATCAAATGAAAATAATCAAGTCTGGACTAAGAAAAGCATTGGGAATTGTGTGAGACTTTAATAACTGGAAAGATTCCTAGCCATGCTAACAAAAGCGCCACAAGTAGGACTGACAATTTATTGATCAATATTGTGTCCAAATAATATTCAACAGGAACAAGAGTGAGCAGCTAGCTGGTGAATGGTTCTGGTTAGAATTGGTCTTCAGCAACCCATGCTGGCCATAAAAGGTGAATATGCTTGTCGTAAGAGGTGACTTACGGGTGGTCAGGTGGTCAGGCTTTCTGACTTGATTGATGCATTTCATTGTATCCCAATTGCATGGACCGATGCAGCATTGCTCATGATGTCAATCACTGGATTGTCTGATCCAGACTTGATTATTGATTGATTTACAGACGGTCTATGTCATATAGATGGAATATTGGTGTGTGAGGTATTAAACAGCAAACAAAGCTGGTGATCGAGACATGTCCATGTACCAGCGGCAATTAGTGTCATAAAATAAAGGAATATTCCAAGATCATGTTAGGTCATGAAGTGACATCTCTGTCACCAGCTGGTGACGATTTCCTATTTGCAAATATCACATAATTATCGGTTGTACTCGGACTAACGAATACCCTGATTTGGAGTTTATCACGACCGTATCACGATGTTGATCTTGGCCAACTAAACAGAGTCCGACACTGTCAACAAATATCAAACATCTGGTACCGGCAGATATAAATTAAAGAGCCTCACCTACACTGACTAATAACAAGAACCTAATAAACATATTATTTGTGAAAGTAACTTCACAGTGTATGAAAAATACCTATACATAAACGTAAAAGGTAATACATACCTGTCGATTCCTTTCAATAAGGAACCAACAGTGGCTCTCATTGCTTCTGCCATCTTGGACCATGTGAAGTAAAAGACCAGTTTACGGCAGAAGTCGTGAAAATTCATTTGAAAGATAATACATGTTGGCCCTGCAAACAATCAAAAACACACCATAATCAGAGCTAGAACTGTTAAAAGGTGAAAGATAGGTTTATCAAAATCTGAATAGTTAGTTTAGGTTTTAAACGGTAACCAAAAACGAAAGCATACTAAAAGATATTGGCAAAACTAATAATAGGCAATATTTGTGTCCCATGGAAAATCGCAAATTATCTACTAAATCGACGCTCGGCGTGAATAAAAAAAACATTCCCTTGTTTTTCGTACACTTTGAAATATATAATGTTACTTATAACATGAATACACAGATCCATTGATAACATATCACTAGAAATTAATGGCTCCGATTGGAAACTAGTATTTACTACCCATGCTTCAAGAAGCTGTCGGATTCGATGTAAACAGATCGGCTTCACTTTGTGTTGTTAATTTCAGTAAGAGATACTGAGCCGTAATGGAGGAAGACGGTGGGAAAGTTCCAGACACAGTTAAACTTTCTAAAGCAAAACATTATAAATCCGAGGGAAATGACGCCTATAAAAATAAAAATTACAGACTGGCCATTGGGAAATACCACAGAGCTTTGTTGCATCTGAAGGGAATAGGTCAGGGTAAAGAATCATTAGCAGCTATGTTCACCGGCCAGGATGAAGATGAAACACACCCAATACCACCAGAAATGATTTTTGAAGTTGGAAACCTCCAATCAGATTGTTATAATAACTTAGCAGGTATATATTCACAGTGAAGTGCTTGTAGAACTAGAACATGAACTCATTGTCCTGTTTCTAAATGATAACCATTGTGAGAATGGGAATGGGAAACTAGATAAGTAGCCAAAGTGCTAACACAGTATAGGCATGTGTGAACCATTTCTGTCCTGCATGTAAAAAGCTGTCTACATTAATGTCTGTATATTTTCAGCTTTGTCTATTACTATGATTTTGTTATTCCACATTAACTTTACAAACAGTTATAATTTCTATGGTAAGATGACAGTCAAAATTTAACATGTGAAATTCAATCGAAATCAAAGACCATATTTTATGTCATATAGAAAGTATTTACAAACATGAAGAAGTGGATTCAAAATATAAGTACATTTGTCAGCATGGTTAGAGCTTGGTGCTTTACCAGGTTAGGTATCTGATTAGTGATTTCTTATGAAAACATCTCAGCAATAAGTGAAGCTTCTATCAGTTTGCATGTGTCCCTTATGAAAAGGGATGTTTTTACTTTATTTGATCGGCAGGTCTGTTTCGTGTTGATCAATTTTGACTGGTACCCAATTCGTCAACATCCAATAAACAAGATAAATACCCTTTGAAAGAAGGTATATTGTCATACTTGTCATGACAGTCTTTTGTCTGCTTGCTATTTCTGTTATTGATAAAGGTTGTAATGATAGCAATCTCATAATGGTCTTTTACATTTCCTTCGTGTGAGGTGAACCCTGAGAGAACTTTCACCGCCCAATCTAAATAAAGGCTACATGATTTTTTCAGCCAGTCAGCTGTCTGCTTTCTAAAATGATCCATCGTTATTTCTTTACTAACTTGATTCAGATCTTTTTATTTGTACAAATGAAAACCCACACAGAACGCAAATGTTCTTTCAATGCTATTCTCTGTTGGGTGTAGATTCCACAGTCAGAAACAACAAGTTAATTGTATGTAATATCCACAACAATGTGATAGAGCTGCTATACTTTCTACTTTTGGACATGCCGTGATATAACTGGAATACTGTTAAAAGCGGCGTTAAACCCAACTCACTCACTCATTATAAATCAGACATGCTGGTTTGAATGCTTCGCTCACTCATACAAAGAACTTGGACGCCTCAACACTGATTGGCTAGTTACAAAGTTCACCTGACCACTGACGTGACCTCCTTTGGAGTTGTCGTAGATCTTACACAGAGACTTTTTGTATCGGACTAAAATATCAGATCTTATTGAGATTGTAATTATAGCATGATCACTATTTCACTTGAATTTCAGAACATGGACTGAGAAACAGTGAGATACTTGCTATTTGGGACACATTATTTTTCTTGTGCATCTAAACATGTTAAAGTATATCTATTTGCAGCCTGTCTCCTGCAGCAGGGTGATCCCAACTATGGGAAAGTGATAGAGTACTGTGACAGTGTACTTTCAATCCAGGCAGGGAATGTCAAGGCTGTGTACAGAAAAGGACAGGCCTTGTACCACTTAAAAAGATATGAGAAAGCATTAGATGTCTTAAGCCAAGCCAATGAAGGTATTTATGATGTGTGTGGTTAACAGTGTTGTTTTATGTGAGGTTCAATTACTTTTCTATGTTACATTGTATTTGTATCCATTCTTGCTTACGATCAGATATGCATAGTTGAATGGCACCAAGAGACATTAATCAGAAGACATTTGATTGTCAATGAAGCATTTTGAATTTTATTATGATTTTAGCAGGACAAATAGCAATTAGCCATGTTGGCATAGCATATTTCTTATTTACGTGTTATTGTATTTGAAAACTATGTCCAGGCATAACTCTATCCACATTGGCATTCATAATTTCTAAATTCATGTTATATAAATATTGATTTATTTTTGCATAAGTGACTTGTATTTCACTGATGACAGAACCAATAAAGAGAAAAAATGTCTTTCATACTTAGTTTATATTACTATTTATAATGCTCAAACAATATCAGTAAATTTAAGAAATTAATTCTTTACCAAAATACCAATTTTGAGCAAAATAACCTTTTATCCCACTGACACTTCATTGGAAATGGGAGATAAAGCCCTGGTGTCACAAAATATACGGCCTTTGTAAATACAACACATTCACCCTCTGGTTAAAGCAAAGCATGTATCCATAAATTTATTTTTTAGTATTGCAATTTACACTTAACTTGAGACATAGGTCATTATGTAAGATCTTTGAGTAAAACAAGACAATTCTCATCAATAACCAAAGCCCAGAGTTGTAATTTAACAATCTGTTTCCAGAACCATCAGTAAAGAAGTACACAACACTATGTAAAAGAGAACTTCAAAAACAAGAAAAGGAACTGAAAGCTGCTTACAGAGGAATGTTTAGTAAATATTCAAATGACTCAAAAGCGACGGCAAGCAAAGACAATGAAGCTGATGCTGATAACAGTTAACAGTTAACAGTCTACCTTGGGAATTACTGCATTGGAGTGCCATGCTTCATGTGTTGAGGATCATCCCAGTGCTCTTTTTGACAGTTTGAAGTAATATACTACTCAAAAAAGTTTAAAAACACTTGATTCTTTCAAATTACTATAGTTAATCTGTCATGACAAAAATCTGAAAGGATAGTGATTAACTATAGTAATAATGTAATATGAAAGAATCAGTGTTCTTTAACTTCTTTTGAATTGTATATCTATGATGATAACAGTCAATATGTGTTGCAAATGCTCCACATTCAATCAATCATTTTTGTTGGGATGCTGCTCTGATTCTTCGATGCATCAAGATACATCAAGTTTCAATATCGCTATTGCAGCATAGCTTGATGTATTGAAGAATAGGTTGGTCTATTGATATGAAACAAAATGTTTCAAAGGCATTCATTCGTATGATACTCATTTTGTCTGCACAGTAAATTTCAGTTCATCGCAGCATTTTCAGTGTTTGTCATTATCATGTTCATGTTTGTAAACTTTCAAATCAAAAACGTGGACCCTGACCTCAAAATAATTTTCTTTACATTTTTCTCTCTGAAATTCATATGCTTATCAGCATATTTCAATCAGCAGTCGCAAGCAACCACTACCAACCGTCCGGGGATCGCCTCTTTGGTCTAGTGGTAGAGCATCTGCCTGGAGAGCGGAAGGTTTAGGGTCTGATCCCCGGCCGCGTCATATCAAAAAACGTTAAAAGATGCTACTTGTTAATACCCTCTGTCTGGCCTAAAACTTACTGGTCGGCTCAGTCAGTGGATGTTAAACTGTGACATGGTATCTCGGTGGGTGAGCGCTATAAATAGGTATCAGTCGGGACAAGTACAAGCACACACGCATGCACGTCGCTACATAAGTGCAATAATCTTGACCGCGACGTTGAACCCCATTTCACCTCACCTCTTCACATATCATGAAGTTACAGGTCACTTGAAGCAGAAGCATACAAAAATGATTTCTTGTTATGTGTTTTTGTTTGTTTTATATCTGAAAAATATTGTTAATTCTGACTATTGGCACTGTTTCAAAAGCCCTATGATTTAATAAGTGCAAATGTTTCCCACTGACATCACCCTTTGATTGGGTGGTTATTTGCAAACCGGAATAACTTCCACACAGCAAATGGTGACACATTTACACTTCAGGATAGATGGGGGAACATATTGTACAGGAAGGATTAACATGTTGGAGTTGTGAGAAATCTACATGGACCATGTTGACTCAATGATGCCTTTGGCTGTTGAGGCTGTAGTGTCTTCAGAATGATCAATGAAACAGCCAGAATATGCCTTTGACTGTGATGAACACTTTTTGTACAGCATTAAAGAAAATACGACTCAGTTCCTTCATGTCTGATTTGATCACATTTCACTTAAATCTGAGTTGATTTTTCCTTGTTATATTTTCTTGTAAACTTTCCACATGAATCTGAAGTTCAAATCAAATTAATATGTAGTATGAAACACCACTTGCGAAATATGAATACACATGTGTTTTGTGAGGGATGAAGCTTGTCAAAAAATTACTGTAGTTACAAACAATAATCATCCATCAAGGACTTTTGGAATGTTAATTATCCCAATTCTGTATCAAGTGACAATTTGGCTTAGTATTACTTTTATATCACATTGAGAATATTTTCACAAACTATTGAAAAACAACTTCAAGCATAATTACATGTTGATTCCTGGAAGGAGATGAAGAGAAGAGAAGAAGCACTATTACATTATACATGTGTTTGTCGAATTCTTATGGGGTGGTGGGGTTGCCTAGTGGTTAAAGCGTAGCTTGTCACGCCAAAAACCTTTGGTCAATTCTCCATGTAAGTGCAAAATGTGAGTCCCATTTCTGGTGTCCCCTGTCGTGATATTGTTGGAATATTGGGGAAAAAACATGGTTTAAAACCCTACTCACTCACTTACTCACTCTAAGACTTACCACATTACTTGAAAGTACTTAGAAAGCTAACAATGCCACAAAAAGATCTGGTATGTCCTAATTGCCTCTAGTGAAATATCTCCTTGTAATGGTCTGGATAAACACTTGGCTTTTCTGTTTGGGAGGTTGTTGACCAATGTATTCAATTCAAACATTCCTTTTGTTAAGAAAAATGTTGTTTTTTGTAATCAGTTTGAATGAATGATCATCTGATCCAGTGGGGACCTGTATGTCGGTGACTTATCATATGTTGTCTTTCACCATGATTTTGTGCAGGTTTCATGTTGTTAAGCCAGCGTAATAAACATCATAATCTCATATTTTGTTGTGTATTTTGCTGATGCAGGAACCAATTACTGTGAAGGATGCAACGTATGTTTGACTTGTTAACTGCTCTCTGCGTGTTGGAAAAACAACATACATGTATGACAATATATTCTGATGATATGTTTTTTAGTTACAAATGTCATTAGTTCTAGAAATTACTACAATGAAAAATGTTGCCTGACTTTTTCTAAAGGTTTGGATAGCTAACACATTCACATTTCTATGAAAATTTCAAACCGCATCATAATTATGATTCTTGCTCAAAAGTTCTTTGGTCAGGATTACGACATTAAGGCCTTAGTTGAGTTTTCAAAAAGTTTTGTGGTAGACATGTTGAGGACAATTACATATTGAGTGAGTGAGTGAGTGAGTGAGTTGGGTTTAACACCGCTTTGAACAGTATTCCAGTTATATCATGGCTTATCGGCTTAATGTGAGAGGAAAGCTCGAAGTGATGCAGGTCATAGACGTTAACCACTTCGATGAAACCCATGAGCTTGGGTATGGTGCTGACAAACCTAGAAACATAATTGGGGCGAACCGGGATTCGAACACACAATCATAGGTTTCTGGCATGCCCAAGGGACGCAACTCTGCACACTGAATCGCGGCGCCTTAGACGACTGTTCCACCTGTGCCCCCCAATTACATATTGTAAGCATCAATGAAAACACGATTTCCGATACAATTCGGACTTTTGACTTGTACCAGATGTTTCTGTGTGTGATTTTGTCAGGTGAACAATTAACTTGGCTTTGCAATCGTTTGTGCCACCAGTGGGGCAGGATACGCTCAGCTTTACATGAACACCTGGTAGCATAACTTGATAGTGATTCATAAACACGTGTTATGATATAGTTTGGATCGTGCAATATATTCTGCTTTTGGAAGATATTTCTTTTGATTATGGAAAATTTTTGTTGTTTCTTTTGCCCCTCTGCGAGAAGATGTGACAAACCCTCCATGTTGTGTCATTTACATCGATTTCTCTAAATTATGGGTACTTGGTATTCAGAGCAACATATGTAATATCTGTGTAAGGAAAACGAACATAAACGGGCAGGTCAGAATGGAATATATAATATATTGTTGTGCCAAGGCATATACACCGAAAGGGGTGTACTGTCGATGGGATATTGTGTTGACTGTAGAGCCCTTGTATCTTTCATTTAGACAAGGTTGTCAAAGTTCACTAACACTACCTCCAAATGGTTTGTCAAATCTTCAAGCAGAAAGGTATTAGTAGAAGAGTAAACTATGTGACTGGAAGTAAGTTTGACGAGAAGAAAAACATACTCCCAAAATTTTAATTATATTTACCATAGTTGAGAAAGATTAAATCTGTGGAACAGTGAGCCAAATAATTGAAAAACTAAATCATGTTTACTACAGAACTACTGATGAATCCATCACAGAACTTCCACTTACGATTATTTACAGACCGACGTCATACAGCTGGAATATTGGCAACAAACAGGATCAGTAGACTCACTTCAGCAGTACCCTACATGATCACTAGACTCGTTTCAGCATTACCCCTACAGGATCAGTTGACTCGCTTCAGCATTACACCTACAGGATCGGTAGACTCGCTTCAACAGTACCCTACATTATCAGTAGACTCCCTTGAGCAGTACCCCTACAGGATCGGTATACTCGCTTCAGTATTACCCCTACATGATCAGTAGACTCGCTTCAGCAATACCCTACATGATCAGTAGACTCACTTTAGCATTACCCCTACATGATCAGTATACTCACTTCAGCAGTACCCTACATGATCAGTAGACTGGTGTCTGCAGTACCCCTACATGATCAGTAGACTCGCTTCAACATTACCCCTACATGATCAATAGACTCACTTCAGCAATACCCTACATAATCAGTAAACTCGCTTCAGCAGGACCACTGCATTCTACAGGTTGGCGATGGTGTAACGAGGAACGCTGTAGTACTTCTGACCCGTCTTTTCCATCATGATGACAACAGCTGTCCCAAGTTAAGGCCTAGATGGGGAAGTAGAGGAATCGTCTGATGCGTCGCAATGGTGAGGTGAGGTGAAATTGGGCTTAACGTCGCGTCCAAGATTATTGCACTTATATAGCGACATGCATGCACGTGTGTGTGTGTGTGACTGCTTGTACTAGTCCGGACCGATGCCGATTTATAGTGCACATGCGTTCCCCTATTTCTTGCCCTATAAAAATCCACCCAGATCGGATAACATTAATTCATTATTGAATTGCTACCACGTGCCAAGATTGACAAGAAATCAGCGACACAAGCCCTTGGACGATTGCAAGCTGGACAAACCGCCCGGCAAGTAGCCAATGCATTTCAAGTCCACGTAAGGACCATATACAGGCTCCAGCAACGGTGCCGGACCACCAACACTACAGATGACCGACCTCGTAGTGGAAGACCAAGGGTCACCACCCGACCTGAGGATCGTCAGATTGCGCGACAGCATGTTCAAGATCGCTTTATTACTGCTGCGGAAATTGCTCGACAGACCATGGGGACACACCAGCGACAAATTAGTGCGGACATCATGCGTCGACGATTGACGAGCAGACACCTCCACTGTCACAGGCCACACCGAGGACCCATTCTCCACCACGTCATCGTGGGGACCGTCTTCAGTGGGCAACACAGCACCAGCAGCGTGGAAGTCCTCTTCTCAGACGAGAGCCGTTACTGTATCTCAACAGCAGATGGCAGAGAGAGAGTCTTGCGACGCCGAGGGGGAGGGGGAGGGGGGGGGGGGGGGGGGGGGGGGGACGTTTTTCGGATGCTTGTGTTGTTGAGAGAGACTCGTGGGGTGGTCCGAGCATCATGGTGCGGGGTGGAATTGCATGGTCTTGCACAGAGGGTCGGCCCAGTGGTCTTCCAGAACATCGGTCCAGGGAGAGGCAATGGTGTCACAGCAGCTCGGTACATTGATCAAGTCTTGTGACCACACATCATTCCTCATTTTGGCACGTCGCAGCAACTACGAGTGTCCGCATGATAACGCCCGTAACCACACTGCGAGAGCAACAAGAGACTTCCTCCAGCAGAATGGCATCAGAACCATGCAGTGGCCTGCCCTCAGTCCCGATTTAAATCCCATTGAGCACCTATGGAACGAGATTCAAAGATGGCTGAATGACGTCCGACCAAGGCAGACAACTGCAGCTGAACTGAGTCAGGCGTTCCTCAGAGTGTGGGCTCAAGTGCCTATGGCCTTCATCAACCGCCTCATCTATTCCATGTATCGACGTTGCACGGCAGTCATCAATGCACATGGCGGACACACGAGATACTGACTTGTGATGCCATTTTCTGAGAGACTAGTGTTTTGTTTCACTTTAAGAAAATTTGACACTTTAATTTCAACCTTGATGATCAATTTTGCCAAGTTTCATCTTTTTAATATGTCTCTAAGTATGTTTACAGTGTTTGGACAAATAAGGTTTCTCATATTATCTATCCATGGTGACGTTTCTTTTGCGGTTCAGTATATGTTAATTAATTATAACTTCGACTTCTTACAACGCCAAATTGCCCCGGGTGACATCGTCTTCTTCGGGACGTAGGTGTATCCTTCAGGGTCGACCAACTTAGACTTCCTTCTCTTGCTGGCACTTGCGATGATCTTGAAGTCGGTGGGGTCGACGTGACGTGGTTCCACTATCTCTGGATCTGGGTGTACCAAGGAATATTCTTGGCCTAAATAGAACATGCAGTCTATGGTGTCGTCTCCAGACAACGGATCGTGGGGCGTCGGTTCTCCATTAAGTCGGCGGAGATGGAGATTGGTGTCGGTTGGAGGTCTGGCAAGGGGGAAAACATGCACGACAGACGTGTCCATTCCAAAGTCATCAGACGTTGGTAGCTTTCCTGTAGTCTTTACGACTAATTCCTGCACAAGGGGTTCGATACTGCCACTTGTCACACTTGTCACAAGCTATGTACAGCCCAATCTCATTAAAATCAGATCTTAGTTCTCGCTACCGCTAAACAAAGATCTGAGGACATCCCATTAAGGGTCACGTCACAACCTTTCATCCGACCAGTCAGAGCGTCGCTTCCCAGATCATGAAAGTGACAGTCGGAAAGTGATTTCTAATCGTGCAGCCTCGAAAACTTTAAAACGGGGTATTCCGAACGATAGTTACGGGCTTCAAATTTTTAAGCGAGAATTTGTCAAAATATGTTTCGAAGCGTAGTCGCCAATTTGAAATTGGCGCCGCGATTCGCTGTGCAGAGTTGCGTCCCTTGGGCACGCCAGAAACCTATGATTGTGGGTTCGAATCCCGGTTCACCCCGATTATGTTTCCAGGTTTGTCAGCACCATACCCGTGCTCGTCGGTTTTACCGAAGTGGTAAACGTCCGAGACCTGCTTCACTTCGGGCTTTCCTCCCACATTAAGCTGACACGCCGCGATATAACTGGGATACTGTTCAAAGCGGCGTTAAACCCAACTCACTCACTCACTCTCACGAAATCCACTCACTCACGATAGATACTGATTGTCAAATCGTAAAATCTCTTCACGCTAATCAACGTGATTACTATACTCACTCCACATACTGCATGATAGGTGTTCACGTCTTAAATCAAGAATAATAACTGACAAAATTGTTTTCATCGAGTTGTTACTGCTCGTGATGGAGAATATTTTGGAGTACATCAAGACCGGTTGTGCTGTGTTCAACATTACATGTATTTCTTATGGATTTTATTCACATTGCAAATCATATATATTTTTTCATCATTTGAACAAACGATAAATTCTCCTGTTGAATTCACTTCGCCCAAGCATAATGGCACAGGAAGATAGTAAAAATGATAAACACTATATTTTGAAAACAATGCTTTATTGTTAATAAATTGTGAAACATATTTACTTTTGATTAAAAGTTATAAATTACGTTCATGAAAAGTTATTACAAATAATTTATTTCAAAGTACATACTCTTCGGATGTAATTTCTGTAAGTCTCTGC